GGTTTGGGAGTTCACTCATGATTTGGTTCTGTTTGTCTGTTATTGGTGTATTTAAATACTTATGCTTTTTCACACTGATTTTGTATCCTTAGTCTTTGCTGAAGTTGCTTATCAGCTTAAGGAGGTTTTGGGCTGAGACAATGGAGTCTTCTAAATATATAATCATGTCATCTGCAAATAGAGACAATTTGACCTCCTCTTTTACTAATTGAAATAGCCTTTATTTCTTTTCTTGCCTGAGTGCCCTCGTCAAACTTCTAATACTATGTTGAATAGTAGGGGTGATGGAGGGCATCTTTGACTTGTGCCAGTTTTCAAAGGGAATACTTCCAGTTTTGCCCATTTAGGATGACACTGGCTGTAAGTTTGTCATAAGTAGCTCTTATTATTTTGAGATACGTTCCATCGATACCTAATTTACTGAGTTTTTAGCATCTTGAATTAACAACTGAGATAATTCCATAAACAGAAAAAAGGAATATTCCTCTTTTGCCTGTATTAAATTATGACCTCATCTGAAAAGGCATGAAATACTCCAGAACATCTCTCTCAACTTATCCTTTGATTCTTTTCCTTCTCGATTTAACCTTTGTGGACTCATAATTAAAAACAATAAAATACTAACGGAATATATTGGTAGAAAAAGCATTACAACAGATTTAGACCATCAAGAACTTTCAAAATCACAGTAAAAATATACAGACTAGCATAGGAATAATGCATGAGCATTTAAAATAACGAATGTGGAATTAAAAACAAACTACATGGAAACAGAACAACGTGCTCCTGAATGACTACTGCGTTAATAATGAAATTAAGGCAGAAATAATGTAAAGATGTTCTTTGAAACCAATGAAAACAAAGACACAAGTACCAGAATCTCTAGGGCACATTTAAAGCAGTGTGTAGAGGGAAATTTATAGTACTAAATGCTCACAAGAGAAAGCAGGAAAGATCTAAAATCGACACCCTAACATCACAATGAAGAGAACTAGCAAACAAATTCAAGAGTTAACAGAAGACAGGACATAACTAGGAGCAGAGCAGAACTGAAAAAGATGGAGACACGAAACCTCTTCAATGTATCTACGAGCTGGTTTGTTGAAAAGATCAACATAATATTTAGACCACTAGTCAGACTACTAAAGAAGAAAAAACAATCAAATAGACATAATAAAAAATGACATGGGTATAACATCACTGATCCCACAGAAACACAAACTACCATCAGAGAATACTATAAACACCTCTATGCAAGTGAACTAGAAAATTTTGATTAATTCCAGTACATATACAGCTTCCTAAGACTGGATCAGGAAGAAGTCAAATCCCTGAATAGACCAATAACAAGGTCTGAAATTGAGGCAGCAATTAAAAGCCCAAAAACATCCAGGATCAGATGGATTCATAGCCGAATACTACCAGAGGTACAAAGAGGAGGGGCTAGTAGCATTTCTTCTGCAGCACATCAAGAAGCTTATCAACCACAATAAAGTGGATTCATCCCTGGGATACAAGGCTGCTTCAACATATGCAAATCAATAAATGTAATCCATCACATAAACAGAACCGTGACAAAAACCACGATTATCTCAATAGATGCAGAAAAGGCCTTCAACAAGTCTTAATAGCCCTTAATGCTAAAAGCTCTCAATAAACTAAGTACTGATGGAACATAAGAACTATTTATGACAAACCCACAGCCAGTATCATAATGAATGGACAAAAACTGTAAGCATTCCCTTTAAAAACCAGCACAAGACAAGGATGCCTTCTCTCACTACTCCTATTCAATATGGCCAGCTCAATCAGGCAAGAAAAATAAATAAAGGATATTCAGCTAGGAAAAGAAGAATTCCAGTTGTCTCTGTTTGTGGATAACATGATTATATATTTAGAAGACCTTGTCATCTCAGCCCAAAATCTCCTTAAACTGATAAATAACTTCAGCAAAGTATGAGGATATAAAATCAATTCGCAAAAATCAGAAGCATTCCTATACACTAATAACAGCCAAATTATGAGTGAATTCTCATTCACAACTGCTACAAAGAGAATAAAATACCTAGGAATACAACTTACAAGGGATGTGAAGGATCTCTTGAAGGAGAACTACCAACCACTACTCAAGGAAATAAGAGAGGACAAAAACAAATGGAAAAACATTCCATGCTCATGGATAGGAAGAATCAATATAATGAAAATGGTCATAATGATCCAAGTAATTTATAGATTCAGTGCTATCCCCAACAAGCTACCATTGACTCTCTTCACAGAATTGTAAAAAAAACCCCAAAGCTTTAGATTGCATATGGAACCAGCAATGAGTGTGCACAGCCAAAACAATCCTAAGCAAAAAGAAGAAAGCTGGAGGCATCATGCTACCTGGGTGCAAACTATATTACAAGGCTACAGTAACAAAAACAGCATGGTACTGGCACCAAAAGATATATATATATATATATATATACACACACACACACACACACGTGTGTATATATATATATATATATATACACAGATATCTGTGTATATATATATATGCACATATATCTGTATATATATATACAGCTATACATGTGTATGTGTGTGTATACAGATATATATATAATTGGTGCCAGTATATATAACATATATGTGTGTGTGTGTGTGTGTATGCATATATGTATACACACACACACCAATGGAACAGAACAGAGGCCTCAGAAATAACACCACACATCTACTATGGTCTGATCTTTGATAAAAACAAGCAATGGGGAAATGATTCTCTATTTAATAAATGGTGTTGGGAAAACTGGCTAGCCCCATGCAGAAAGATGAAACTGGATTCCTTTCTTACATGTTACACAAAAATTAACTCAAGGTGGACTAAAGATTTAAATGTAAGACCTAAAACCAGAAAAACTCCAGAAGAAAACCTAGGCAAAACCATTCAGGACATAGGTATGGGCAAAGACTTCATGACGAAAACATGAAAATTAATGGCAACAAAAGCCAAAATAGACGAATGGGTTCTAATTTAACTTAAGAGCTTCTGCACAGCAAAAGAAAATATCCTCAGACTGAACAGGTAGCCTACAGAATGGGAGAAACATTTTGCACTTTACCCATCTGACAAAAGGCTAGTATCCAAAATCTACAATGAACTTAAACAAATTTACAGGAAAAAAACCCCATCAAAAAGTGGGTAAATGATATGAACAGATACTTCTCAGAAGAAGACATGTATGTACTCAACAAACATATGGAAAAAAGCTCATCATCATGGGTCATTAGAGAAATGCAAATTAAAACTAGAATGAGATAACATCTCATGCCAGTTAGAGTAGCAATCATTAAAAAGTCAGGAAACAGCAGATGCTGGAGAGGAAATGGAGAAATAGGTACACTTTAACACTGTTGGTGGGAGTGTAAATTAGTTCAACCATTGTGGAAGACAGTGTGGCTATTCCTCAAGGATATAGAACTAGAAATATAATTTGACCCAGCAATCCCATTACTGGGTATATACCCAAAGGATTATACATCATTCTACTATAAAGGTACATGCACAGATATGTTTACACAGTACTATTCGCAATACCAAAGACTTGGAACCAACGCAAATGCCCATCAATGATAGACTGAATAAAGAAACTGTAGCACATATACACCATGGAATACTATGCAGCCATAAAAAAGAATGAGTTCATGTCCTTTGCAGGGACATGCATGTAGCTGAAAACCAGTTACTACATGTTCTCCAATTACTCCAAACCAGTTACTTATGTTCTCTCTCATAAGTGGGAGTTGAACAATAAGGACACATGGACACAGGGAGGGGAACATCACACACCGGGGCCTGTCAGGGGATGAAGGGCTAAGGGATAGATAACATTAGGAGACATATCTAATGTAGGTAATGGGTGCAGCATAACACCATGCCATATCTATAACTATGTAACAAAACTGCACATTCACCCCAGAACTTTAATTAAAAAAAAAACAAAAAAAAAACGAGCAAGCATGAAAGCATCTGCCAAGATGTCTAGGCAGATTTGTAAATGAAAATATGAGAATGCTAGAAATTAAAAGCATAATCACTAAAATTAAAAAGCTCAATGTATGGATTAAATAAGCGATTAAATCCTGAAACTATAGACCTGAATAATTCAGTAGCATGACGTACAGTAAGATAAAGAAATAGAAACTGGGAAGGAGAGGGTAAGAGATGGGGAAGGTGTGAAAATGAAGTTATGTCCAGAGTTTCAGGAAAAAGACCATAGAAAAATGAGGGAGAGGTTATATGAAGAAATAATGGGAATTTCCAGAATTGACAAAAATGTGATTCTGCAGATAAAAGAATCACAAAGTATATAGCAAGTAATGTAAATAAAATGTGTGTGTACTTATAGTGGAAGAATAGAACACAAGACAAAGTATTAATTACAACAGGGAAAATAAATAAATGGTGTCTAAAGGAGTAGCAACAAAATTTAAAGGAAATGCTTGAGAGATAAAGGATATATGGAAGAAAAACATTCTTTATATCCTTTTCCAGGAAATATCATTCATAAATAATACAACATTTTTCTTCTAGATAAATAATGGTACTCTTTCTATGGAAACAACCAAAGTGCTTTCTGGAATAACTTTCTGAATACAAAATATAACGCGAATAAAAAAAGGAAAATGAACTGCCATTATTCTTGATATCTTCATGATATTGGATATATCTGCTCATTTTGAAAATACAAGTATTTAGACATCCCACTTATAATTGATTTGTGAAGTAATATCTTTCAGTAGAAAATAAATGGAGTTGTAACTTAGGAAAGTAACATTAGGTTACCAAATTTCATATTTAAGCAGTATTCATATTCAAGAAGTATATGTTTTTGTAACTTAAACTTTCCCACAAAGCACTTCTTTATGCTTCCCCTGGAACTATATGCATATAATTTGAAAAGATGCACCCTCAGCAGTAAAGGGCCAGGGTCCACCTTTCTAGGACTCACCTCCCCTTCTGTAGACTGCAAATGGAGCTCCTTCCTGCAGGTGGCCTTGAAGTCTCCTGCAGCAGCACTCACCTGGACCCCACGAGGAGCTTCCATGATCAAGGATCTGGTGGGTGATTCAAGCCTAAGAGAAAAACAAACAAAAAATCACTAATAGAAAAGAAAAATTTTGATAAACCCAAAGACAACATTACCCAACTTAAAAGAACCACCAGACAAACATACAAACCAGACAGGCGTAAAGAGTCCTGTCATTTTAAGCAAAGATAAAATGAGTTTTAGAAAAATTTTTATGGACTTATCTATTTTTTGGCTCTTTATAAAAATCTACATTTATTCACATCAAGTATTTACTCTCACTTTCATGACAATTTACTTATGGTTTCTTTCGTCATTTCCTTCATAAGACTCATGAAAAGTAGGGTGTGATAAGTATACTTGCTAAAATTTTTAATAGAACACTAATATTAATGATGAAGGTTTAATAAAAAAATTACTACAATTTAGGATGTAGATGTATATGTTCCTCCATAAAGAGTCCCTGTCTTGTAAAGATGAATGCTTTAATGAAAATCATTATTATTGCAAACTTTTACGCACATACAGTCAGAATTTTGTGAGCTCGAAGATTTTCAGAGTACTCATTAATGAAACAAGATATTTTCTACATCAACTGAGTCTTTTGGCTCAGTGAAATGTCTACAGAATGAGTGACATTAGTCTGGGAAACAAAAATCAATAGGAGGGTGATAGACAAGTACAAATGTGATTGAAGTTTGGCTACGTAAATCATGATGGTAAAAAACAAGTGTTTTAGACAGTCATGTCTACAAAAAAAAGAGTTGGGAGGCAGTTTTCAAATTATCTACAAATATAATACTAGGAAAAAAGCCAAAATGACAGAATACAGGAGCTAGAATGCAGTGGTAAAAAATCCTAGTGTGAGAAGAGGTAGGCCCATGCCTTGGACTTTTTAGATCAGCGCTCTGTCTTGGGGATGCAGCTGCCTGTGCTCCCCTTGACCACAGGACTTTAAGACGAGGGTACCCTCAGGCTCACATTCAAACTCTTGCCCAGTGCAACTAGTTTTGTTTTTGTTTTCTGAGGCAATGAATTCACAGTTGTTTTGTAGAAAGAACCACATCAAATGGTTAGGTCTCTGGAGTTCAGGTCCCTCTCAGCAGGGAAGGCATACTTAAAGGCTTAAAAGTGATATTGAAGGAGTAGAGCCAGCATATAGAAGTGGTTTCAACCTTTCATTATTTCTTTTTTCACTCACCAAAGCAACTTTAAAACTTTAATCCTTATGAGCCATTTGGACATCTATCTTCGTATAATCCCTGGAGGGGTGAGGTTTTGAATATATCTGTTTTTAAGAAACGTCTATTTTTTTTAACAAAATTCCCCATATTTTCCATAGAATATTTGAAAACTTGAAAAGACAAGCACTCAAAATCCTATTAACTTATAAAATTTACTATTAGCATTTTATGCATAGTATTTAAATGTCAAAATTTGAATGCTAAAATGTATGCTTTATCACTGATTACCCCTGATATACAACCGTTCTGGAACTACCTAATAAACAGACTCTTAGCAGCACTGTATCAACAAATAAATATTGCCCCACTTCTCTCTTGTATGGAAACTCTCTTGTTCACTGAGGAGGGTTTTGCAGACTATCTTACTTATATTACAGTAGAGGTTTTCAATTAAACTATTCACTTTATTATAAAATGTTCTCTGAAAAAGCCTGTTGAAAAGGAAACCCAGGTTTATTGGCACTACTTGTAGATTCCTATGTAATTTGTCAATGAAATTAGTGAATTGTAATTGTATTCATTTTGAAAGCATTATAGCAAATATAGCAATGAGTTTCAGACTAGCTTTCACAGTGGTTACCTAGGATTATTATAGCAGAAAGGAGGATTAAATTTAACTCAAGTCTCTCTGCCACCTGTTTTGTAAAGCATTCTGTTTGTTTATGGTGTTTATATACCAAAGATGCAAAAAGATACTGCTTTTAAGGTGTTATGCAAGTATCAAATATAAAAATCTGTGGCCTAAATCTCTAGAATTCTCAACATTCTGACAAAAGAGAATTCAGATTTTAAAAGAACCTAAGTTGCAAGATGCAATTATTAAATATTAGCTTAAGCAGAACTTAAACATCAGAAGAAACAGAAAGGCAAGGAAAAGGAAAGGCAAAGAAAGCAAAAATCCTATTTATCATAATGTTCTTCTCATAGGTAGAACAACGTCAGCCAAGTGATTTACACCTTTATTTAGGAAATGTCTCAGGACAAAATCTTGAGTGCTTAACAAATGGATTTTATTCTTGGAGTGCATTAATGATGCGTATGTCAGCTATGTGTTTCTAGAGATTAACTTGGAGCCTGCAAGCCTTAATATTTCTGTTTTAAACTGCATTTTTGCAAGAATGAGAATTATGAAAAGAAGATGCCAAGTATATGATTAAATATTAATTCATTTTACAGAATCCAAGTGGAGATTATTTTCTTATTCATGAAGTAGTTAATGGATCTGAGATCCAAAACAATCTTTGGAAAATGGACATTGTATAATTAGTATCATTACTTTTTATCATAGGTGCAGAAACTCTTCAAACGGTAGTAACTTAACTATATATTAACGTAAGAAATAAAACAAATAAGAACATTGGGCCATTCTGGGCAAATTTACTATTATGTCTTTATAACCATTTAATATGCCTGTTTTAGGCTTTTAAAATATAGACTCCATACTACATAATATAAAAAAAAAACAAAATCTGAGAAAATCCAGTTTTAAATTCCACATGAAAACTAGCACAGAACTTGAGAAATAGTAAACACTCATCAAACATCTGCTGAATAATTTATAGAAACACACTACATTTCTTCAGTAAAATATTATCAATATTCTATTAATGTAATAAACTTTGAATGTTTTTTTTTCTAGTCTTTTTTTCTTGACAATAACAAAACCAAAGAAAACATGGATGCTTACTCCCCATACTATCATTTCATTGTCTTGGCCAACCAATGTCACCTTGTTGATTAGAAGTAGGCATCAACTAACAGTACTTACTGCTCCGAAAGGAAAATTGTCAGCAAGGCTTGTAATGTTTTTCTCAGACACACTGCTTTTATTCTTCATTACACAAATAAATAATGGAATATCTATATAATTACTGTATTTTACTTCTGTTTCAGTTTGGAAATTTAGTAACACTTTTCTTGGGGGTTGCCAGTCTGCTTTGAGAACTAGCTGATAACTCCAGCTTAGTGCAATGTTTAAATAATGACTAATCAGAAAATAAAAACCAGAAATACTGTATACTAATTATAATATCACATTTTCACTTATGAATTTTGAAAGATGTCAGCAAGATAAAGTAGCACTTGATTCTTATTCCTCTTTTGATGATAGACTCTACATAGTAGAAATTTCAAAATGTTACTAAAATCTTAGAAATAAATATTTCTATAAGAATAAATTTAAATTTTTAAATACTTATATAAATTTAGTAATTTTTAAAAATTTATTCAATAAATTAGTAACCAGCTGTTTCTATATTAAAACACATATTAAAAACAATTGGAATCAGTGCTATTCACATGTGTCTTTGTAAGACAATAATAACTGCAGCCACTTCCCTTATATCCCATTTATTTAGTTAATGTCCTCATTATTCAGCTTTGCTAAGTTTCAGCAATGCAAATTAACAAACATTTACTGCAACTACGATGTGTAAGATACAGTGCTGGCTGCTACAGCACTAAGGATAAACAAAGGAGATGTGTATCCTGTTCTAATGGAAATTTTGTTAGGAGAAGAACGATATGATAAACATTTTTGCAAAAGTTGTTCAATTCCTCCCTGAAAAAAAGCACCATAAATGAAGACTACAGCACCCTATGAGATGCTGTTTACACACATTCCTCAGCACTCCTAAATCTCTAGGATTTCTATACAGAGTAGGTAATTATTATGTTGCCCTTCTAAAATAAGTCTTGGTCCTTGAAGGAGGCCACTTTTTTTTTCTAATATTGTTCACTAGCTAGTTTGAATCTGTATTACTCAAGTAGTGAGAAACTGAGTTCTTTAGGAAATTTTATCATAGAATTCTAAAGGACTGCAAAATTTACTGTTTTAAAAGTATGGTTTTATTGCCTTAAAGATTTCCAACTTTATTTTTTTGTTTCCATCTGAGCATGTCCGTACACTCATCTAATGGGAAGGGATAAACGCCAATCCATATGAAATAAAAAGGTCTTTTAACTTAATTTTTATTTTGCTTCCCAAGACAGCAACTGTGTCTCCCAGGCTGATACTTTGATCCAATTTTACAAGTAACTTTTCATATGTGATTAATTTTCATCAGCACTATTTGTGTCTTTCCTTTTCCTATACAATAGTATGTTTTAGAATGTAATTTAGTTATCATTAATTATTATTAAGCCATCATTAATTGCCAAATCTTATGTATTGAATTAAGAGCATCAACTGAGCAGTTTTGTATTAGGGATGCAGATTTTAATATTTCAAATGTAGTCAACAGTAGTAATAATGATCCTGGAAAGAATTCCCCATAATGTTGGAATTTTTCTGCATAGTAAGAACTTTTACATATAATGCCTCTTAGAACCATCATAATATCAGGAAGCAACTTATTCTATTGGAAATATTAGACTGAGCAACCATTCATAGACCAATTAAGTTCTGCCATTTTCTGATTAGATTCTATTTGCTTCCATGTTTCCCACTATATAATGCTCTGTGATCATTTATAGTTTTCTCAACTCTCTATTTGCCCTGTTTTTATGCATATATATGTCATATATTTTATTATATATGTAAGATTTTCCAGCATTTCTTTGTTTTGTTTTTTGTTTTTAGAAATGGTGTCTTGCTGTGTTGCCCAGGCTGGAGTACAGCACCACAATCATAGCTCACTGCAGCCTCAGCCTCCTGGGCCCTAGCAATCCTCTGGCCTTAGCCTCTTAACTTGGACTACACATGTGCACCAGCATGCTTGGCTAATTTTTTATTTTTTGTAGAGACAGGGTCTCACTATGTTGCCAGGTCTTGAACTTCTGATCTCAAGTTATCTTCCTACCTTGGCCTCCCAAAGTGCTGAGATTACTGGTGTGAGCCACTGTGCCCAGTCTCAGCATCCCTATTTTTATTAGCTGCTTTCACTTACTCTATAACTACCTGTGCCTTTTCTTTTCCACATTCTTCCTGTGTAATGTATTCAGTTTTGTATTTATTGTAAGTATATTGGAGGAAACACTGTCTAATTGTTTATTTTACTTCTTCATATATTAAGGATTATCAACAATGATGGAATTTACAGCACAGGTATAAGAGGAACGCTTACCTGAGATCTTGAGATGGCTCTGCTCTGATGTGTGGCGTCTCCACAGAGTGCCCAAATACAGCTCCTTCAGTGCCTGGGGGTAGCATGAATATATAGCAGTCAGTATAAGAAAGTTCACACAGTGGCTTTCATCTCTATTTTTATGTATCAAATATTCTTCCAAAAGAGAGAAAGCTTAAAATAGGTATATATGATGTATTAATTTGTTTTCACACTGCTGATAAAGACCTACCTGAGACTGAGAAGAAAAAGAGGTTTATTTAGAATTACAGTTCCACATGTCTGGGGAGGCCTCACAATCATGGCGGGAGGAGAAAAGTACTGCATGTATGGCGATGGCAGGAGAAAAATGAGGAAGATCCTAAGGCAGAAACCTGATAAAACCATCCATGAGATTTATACACTACCATAAGAACATTATGGGGGAAACTTCCCCCATGATTCAAATTATCTCCCATGGGGTCCCTCCCACAACAGGTGGGCATTATGGGAGTACAATTTGAGATAGATTTGAGTGGGGACACAGAACCAAATGGTATTACAAGATATGCATGAGAAGACCTGAAAGAATATCACCAGGTAGAGAAGAGTCAAGCCAGGTAAATCTAAATTTCATTATATTAACTTGATTTTAAAATTAAATTATTTATAAAAGTCAAGAATAAGTGAGAATTCCCATTCAAGAACAGAAGCTCATCTTTGCCCCCTGCCTTACTTTCCCAGTTAAAAGAAATTGAGGGAGGGATAACTCACAATACTGAATTCTGCATTTCTATAATTAATAGCAGGTCATGAATAAAAATGTGGAGGTGAGCTCTACTTTATCCTACTATTGGTTTTTAAAGACATGGCCTCACAGATGTTTAGCAGTTCTCCCACATAGAGCTACCACCTTTGATTACAGCAACCACCAAACGACAGAGAACATGTCATGTTACTTTGACCTTTCTAGAGTGAGGGCTTTATCTAAAACCATGAACTGCTTTATTTCATTTTGTTATAGTTGTTTTCATATGGGATCATAATTTTCCAAAGAGGTCATGTACTCTAACATCTTCCTCAAGAGACTGAATAATTATCTATAATCTCAACTTTGATTTACTAATACACTTGTTTTTCTAGATTACCATACCTTTTTCATAATTTATCGAAACAAAATGGAAGGATTCTTCTGTTTCCAGAATCAAGGGGAAAAAAAGTTCCAAATAAGATGACATTAACAAAACCTCTTTTTTTTTTTTTTTTTTTTTTTTTTTTTTTTTTTGTTTTTTTTTTTTTTTTTTTTTTTTTTTTTTTTGGTAATTCTGCATAAACGTCTTTGATTTTCACCCTCAAAAAAAACTTTATAATTTTGTTTTTTGGTCTAATCTTAAAACTTCTTGGTGTAAGAACCTTAATCTGTTCCATCAGTGGCCACAACACTAGCTAAATTATACAATGTAATTTAAAAATGTATAAATTTTAAGCAAACAAATCTGTTTTGTCTAATGAGAAAAATCATGTAAAATATATTCATTCAAGAGGCAATGATGAAGTTGCCATTAGGAAATTAATGCTAAAATTCTAATTCCTTAAAAATAGATTGTTATATAGGGAAATGTATTAGAACCATCAGAAGATTCCTTGCATAATATAGCAGTAGAGACCTTGATCATGAATAGAAGAGGAAGAGATTTTTTTTTCCCAAAATTGTATAAATTTCATCTCTATTTTGGTTCTGAAAGCAAACTTATGAGGTTCTGCTGCAGTAAATCCTTAAGATTACAGATTTCTGCGTATCAGCTAAAAGCTATTGTCATTTGTTGAACTAGGCTATGGGACATACAGTCCTTTTTTTTTAAACTTTTTTCATAAATTTTGAGAAATTATTTCTTTATTTAAGGAGTTTATTCTTTTGATATTTTGGAAAATATTTATTTCTTCAAGTGGAACATTCCTTAAAATGGGCCTTAAAAGTTAAACAGTAGTTTGAAGTAACACTAATTTTGTGATTATGGTGGGGATAGCAGTCAAAAGAATGTCATAAGATATATATTTGTATATCTCAAAGAGAGACTCCAGCATTTTGTAATAAGAAAATATAGTTATCCATGTGCAAAGTTCAAAAATGAATTTCCACTACTGCATGATTATGAAATTTCCCAGATAAGGTGACAGAAATGTGACTAAACGTTAATAATACTATTTACTTTCAAATACATAATTGTACTTAGTAACTAAGCAAAAAATGTATCAATGAAAATAAAAATAGAAGGTCATCAAAAGTTTAAATTTTTAATGAGAATTAAAAACTGATAGAGGTCTCAATTCTGAATTCCAATATAAAATCATCATTTTTTAAAGGATTTTTCAGGAAATAAGTATGTAATCATGCCACTTAAAGGGTGAAATTGTAAACTAAATGATATAAGGGATTAACAAAATGCACGGATCTAGAAAAGAAAAAACTCACCCTCCTGTTTTCGTCCTGAATGAGCCAAAGATACAAAATTAATAACACAGATAATCTTAAAGGAAATCAGTAAGGGACAATAAAACCACCTGAACTAGGTATGTACTTTAACAGCATAAAAAAAAAAAATCAGAATATGCACAGTGGCTCCTGCCTGTAATCCCAGCACTTTAGGACAAAGTAGACAGACGACTTGAGGCCAGGAGTTCCAGATCATCCTGGCCAACATGATTAAACCCCATCTCTACTAAAGATACAAAAATTAGCTGGGCATGGTGGTGCACACCGGTAGTCACAGCTGCTCAGGAGTCTGAGACAGGAGAATAGCTTGAACCTGGGAAGTACAGTTTGCAGTGAGCCAAGATACCTAAGATTGCACCACTGCACTCTGGCCTGGGCAACAGAGGGAGACTCTATATCTAAAAGAAAAAAAAAAAAAAACTTAAAAAATTAAAAATATCTCTCCCATTAATTGAAATTTTTTTACCATGCAGACTAGTAGGGTTGTAAGATTTAGCAATTAAAAATATATGACAATGAGTTAATTTGAGTTTCAGATAAACATCAAATCATTTTTAGTATAAGTATAGGATACTAACAGAAGATGTACTTATCCTAAAAACATGTCTTGAGTGATCAAGTAAATTCAAAATTAATAAGGCATCATGTACTTTATCTGGAAGCCCTAACAATTTGTCAACATTCATTTGGTAAACAAGGACAGATCTTTTCTTCAAGAAAAGAAAGACTGTGTCATGAATTCTCATATCACAGGCTCTAGAAACCAAAGAAACAAAAAAGGATAGACATGAAAAGGTCAAAAGGAACTTAACAGAGACATATTAATATTAAACGTATTGAATAAATGCTTGTTTTCCATTGCTATTGTAAGGGGCTCTTCAAAAGGGTACAATATTCAGTACTACTTGATTATAAAGTCCTGTAAAGGATGTTTCAGATAGTGTAAACTGACTACAATGTTACAAGACATAGGGGAAACATATACTATTAGCTATTGCAATTGTCAGAAAAAAATGAGGTAAGAAAATTCAGGTCCAAAAGTAATAGAAGCCATTCATATGATTTCTGGCTTTTGCAGGAACGAATAAGGATAACATATTCTGCTTTGCTGGAAATGAGAAAAGGTAGATATGGATTACTGTCCTACTTTATATTTAAAGACATTTTAAAACATAAGGATACTACCCTTTACATAAAATGCTACAACCTCAAAAACAAATTATTAAAATTAAATGTCAGCAGCCCTTCTGATGTGGCTATCTATATTCTAAATGCTATCTATACTATAAGTGTTATATCCTACGCTACTCATTATTCACCCATTGACATTCATATATTTTTTACAGAAGTCACTGGTCCCAGAAGAAGAAGTAGCACAAGAAAAGGAAACCCAAAGAGAAGCACCAGAAAGAAGGAAAATAACCAAGAAAGGCAGGAACACATCACATTGAGAAAAAGAGAGGCAGGAAATTATATTTTTAAGTTACTTTATCTGATATTTGCCAAAAGAGAACTTTTGCTGGTCTGTAGTTTTTCAATAAAATCAATTATGATGATGAATATTTTTAAGATTTTTTTTTTTTTTTGATTTGGGGGAAAAGCGGGGAATGAATTTTGTGTAGATATCAAACTGGTATGAAAGAGAAACTAGAAAAGGAATTCAGAGACCACAAGGCAAAGGTTAACAACACATGAGCATCTATCCTCCCAGCCCTATGGCACTTCACAGGAATCTTAGGCAGCGTTTCAAATTCCTATACCAGAATAGGGATCAGGTGCAGGGCTATTTGTCCAGCTCTCGAGGGACAGAAAGATTCTCATTTGTTTATGATCTTCAAATTTGTGTGTTTTAGTGAATATATTCAAACTTTTCAGAAGTCTCCCTACCTTACTTTCTTTTTCTTTATTTGCATCTGTTCCCCCAAATCTAAATTAGTATTAAAATCTAGATGAACTGGGAATAGATTTGTTTTATTCCCAGGTTTGCTTATAGTTTGTTTTTAATTCTCAGCTAAGTATTTAAAGCCCTCCGGTTTTTATTTGTAAAATTAGGCTCTGAATAACATGATCTCTAAGGTATTTTTAACTTCTACCAGAGTTACACGATTTTTTTTCAAACAAACATGTCAAAACTTGCATACTAATAACTCTTCTCATTTCTCCTTAAATATAAGGGGAAATGAGTTTGCTCCTCCAAACCAACAGAAAATAAATTATTTTGGGGAAGGGATGGAGTAATAATACTGGAAAAAAACATTAGTTGGCATTTCTTTTATTCCACTAAAAGAGTTCCTGAGGTTGTCGGCAAGATGGCCGAATAGGAACAGCTCTGGTGTGCAGTTCCCAGCAAGATCAATGCAGAAGGTGGGTGATCTCCACATTTCCAACTGCAGTACCTGGTTCATATCATTGGGACTGGTTGGACAGTGGGTGCAGCCCAAGGAGGATGAGCAAAAGCAGGGTGGGGCGTCGCCTTACCCAAGAAGCAGTGGCCAGGAAACTCCCTCTTCTAGCCATGGGAAGCCATTAGGGACTGTCCCCTGCATGCCAGCACAGACACTGTGCTTTTCCCACAGTCTTCACAATCTGCAGACCAGGAGATTTGCTCCAGTGCCTACAACACCAGGGCCCTGGGTTTCCAGCACAAAACTGGGAGCTGTTTGGAAAGACACCAAGCTAACCGCAGCAGTTTTTTTTCTCATATGCCAGTAGCACCTGGAATGCCAGCGAGACAGAACCATTCACTCCCCTGGAAAGGGGGTTGAAGGCAGGGAGCCAAGTGATCTGGATCTGTGGGTCCCACTCCCATGAAGACCAGCAAGCTAAGATCCACTGGCTTGAAGTTCTCACAGCCAGCATAGCAATCTGAGCTCAACCTGGGATGTTCAAGCTTGGTGAGGGGAGGGGCGTCAGCCATTGCTGAGGCTCAAGTAGGTGGTTTTAACCTCAGTTTAAACAAAGTTGCAGGGAAGTTCAAACTGGGTGGAGCCCACGGTAGCTCGGCAAGGCCTCTGCAGGCAGACTGTGTCACTAGACTCCCTCCTCACTGGGCAGGGTACCTCTGAAAAAAACAGGGACTTATAAATAAAACTCCCACATTCCTGGGACAGAGTGCCTGGGAAAAGGGGCAGTTGTGGGTACAGCTTCAGCAGACTTAAACGTCCCTGCCGGCAGCTCTGAAAAGAGCAGCAGATCTCCCAGCACAGTGTTCCAGATCTGATGGGGAACACAATGCCTCCTCAGGTGACTCCCTGAACCCCATGTACCCTGACTAGGGGATACTTTCCAGTAGGGACCAACAGATACCTCATACAAGAAAGCTCTGGCTAGCATCTGGTGAGTACCCTTCTGGATGAAGCTACCAGAGGAAGGAAGAGGCAGCAATCTTGGCTGTTCTGTATCCCCCCTGCTGGTGATTACCAGGCAAGTAGGATCTGGAGTGGACCTCCAGCAGACCTGTAGCAGAGGGGCCTGACCGTTAGAAGGAAAACTAACAAACAGAAAGAAATAGTCTTAACATCAACAAAAACTATGTCCACTCAGACACCCCATCCATAAATCACCAACTTCAAAGTCCAAAGGTAGATAAACCCACAACAATGAAAAGAAAACAGCACAGAAAGGCCGAACATTTCAAAAACCAGAACGCCTCTTCTCCTCCAAGGGATCACAACTCCTTGCCAGCAAAAGAACAAAATTGGACAGAGAATGAGTTTGAAGAACTGACAGAAACAGGCTTCAGAGGTGGGTAATAACAAACTTCTCTGAGCTAAAGGAGCATGTTCTAACCCAAAGCAAGGAAGCTAAGAACCTTGAAAAAAGATTAGACAAAATGCTAACTGAAATAATGAGTTTAGAGAAAAAAAATAATGAATGGATGGAGCTGAAAAACACAACACAAGAACTTTGTGAAGCATACACAAGTTTCAATAGCCAAATCGATAAGGCAGAAGAAAATATATCAGAGATTGAAGATCAAATGAATGAAATAAAGTGAGAAGGCAAGACTAGGGAAAAAGGGGTGAAAAGAAGTGAAAAAGCCTCCAAGAAATATGGGATTCTGAGAAAAGACCAAATCTGTGTTTGATCTATGTACCTAAAAGTGACAGAGAGAATTAAACCAAGTTGGAAAACACTCTTCAGGATATTATCCAGGAGAACTTTTCCAACCAAGCAAGGCAAGCCAACATTCAGATTCAGAAAATACAGAGAAAACCACAAAGATACTGCTCAAGAAAAGCAACCCCAACACACATAATCATCAGATTCATCAGGGTTGAAACGAAGGAAAAATGCTAAGGTCAGCCAGAGAGAAAAGTCAGGTTACCCACAAAGGGAAGCCTATCAGACTCACAGCAGATATCTCAGCAGAAACCCTACAAGCCAGAAGAGAGTGGGGGGCTAATATTCAACATCCTTCAAGAAAAGAATTTTCAACTCAGAATTTTATATGAAGCCAAACTAAGCTTCATAAGCAAAGGATAAATAAAATCCTACAACGGACAAGCAGCTGCTAAGAAATTTCATCACCCTCAGACCTGCTTTACAAGAGCTCTTGAAAGAAGCACTAAACATGGAAAGGAACAACCAGTACCAGCCACTGCAAAAACATAACAAATTGTAAAGACCATCAATGCTATGAAGAAACTGCATCAAGTAACAAGCAAAACAACCAGCTAGCATCATAATGACAGGATGAAATTCACAAATAACAATATTAACTTTAAATATAAATGGGCTACATGCACCAATTAAAGGACTCAGCCTGGCAAATTGGATAAAAAAGTCAAGACATTTTATCCTTGTGCTGTATTCAGGATACCCTCCTCACAGGCAAAGACACATAGGCTTAAAGTAAAGGAATGGAAGAATATTTACCAAGCAAATGGAAAGCAATAAAAAAACAAACAAACAGGGGTTGTAATCCTAGTTAAAACAGTCTTTAAATCAACAAAGATCAAAAGAGACAAAGAACAGCATTACATAATGGTAAAGAGATAAATGCAACAAGAAGAGCTAATGATCCTAAATATACATGCACCCAATGAAGGAGCACCCAGATTCATAAAGCAAGTTCTTAAAGACCTATAAAGAGACTTAGACTCCTACACAATAGTAGTGGGAGACTTTAACACCCCACTGTCAATATTAGACATATCAATGAGACAGAAAATTAACACAGATATCCAGGACTTGAACTCAGATCTGGACCAAGTGGACCTAATAGACATTACAGAACTCTCCACCCCAAATCAACAGAATATACATTCTTCTTAGCACAACATTGCCCTTATTCTAAAATAGACCACGTAATTTGAAGTAAAAACTCCTCAGTAATAGCAAAATAACGGAAATCATAACAGTCTCTTGGACCATAGTGCAATGAAATTAGAACTCAGGATTAAGAATCTCACTCAAAACTGCACAACGAAATAGAAACTGAACATCCTGCTCTGGAATGACTCCTGGATAAATAATGAAATGAAGGCAGAAATCAGGAAGTTATTAGAAACCAATGAGAATGAAGACACAACATACCAGAATCTCTGGGACACATTTAAAGCAGTGTGTAGAGGTAAATTTATAGCACTAAATGACCACATGGGAAAGAAGAAAAGATCTAACTTCAGCACCCTAATGTCACAATTAAAAGAACTAGAGGAGCAAGAAGAAACAAATTCAAAAGCTAGCGGAAGACAAGAAACAACTAAGAGCAGAAGTGAAGGAGACAGAGACATGAAAAACCTTAAAAAAAAAATCAATAAATCCAGAAGCTGGTTTTTTAAAAAAGATCAATAAAATAGATAGATCACTAGCCAGGCTAATAAAGAAGAAAAGAGAGAAGAATCAAATAGATGCAATAAAAAATGATACAGGAGATAACACCACCCATCTCACAGAAATACAAACTACCATTGGAGAATACTATAAACACCTCTATGCAAATAAAGCAGAAAATCTAAAGGAAATAGAAAAATTCCTAAACACTTACACCCTCCCAATACTAAACCTGGAAGAATTCAAATCCCTGAATAGACCAATAACAAGGTCTGAGATTCAGGTAGCAATTAATAGCCTACCAAAAAAAAAAAAAAAGTCTAGAAACTGACAGCTGAATTCTACCAGATGTACAAAGAGGAGCCAGTACCATTCTTTCTGAAAATATTCCAAACAATAGAGAAAGAGAGAATCCTCTCTAACTCATTTTGTGTGGTCAACATCATCCTGATACTAAAACCTGTCAGAGACACAAAAAGAAAATTTTAGGGCAATATCCTTGATGAACATTGATGTGAATATCCACAATAAAATACTGGCAAATTGAATCCAACAGCACATCAAAAAGCTAATCCATCATGGTTAAATTGGCTTCATCCCTGGGATGCAAGACTGGTTCCACATACACAAATCAGTAAAAATAATACATCACATAAACAGAACCAAAGACAAAAACCATATGATTATCTCAATAGTTGAAGAGAAGGCCTTTGACAAAATTCAACAGTCCTTTATCCTAAATACTGTCAATAAACTAGGTATTAATGGAATGTATCTCAAAA